CGCCTCTCTCTCTCTCTCTCTCTCTCTCTCTCTCTCTCTCTCTCTCTCTCTCTCTCTCTCTCTCACACACACACACACACACACACACACTTTAACAGAGTGAAAAAACTTGTTAGCCACCAAAATAACAGATTGCAATATATTCCAATTTCACTCCTGTCCAAATATCCGAGGATTTTTGTTTCGTTTTAAGTTCAAAATTGCGGTGATCTCAACTACAGCAGTTAAACACCGTCCCGTACGACAGGAGGGCGCCAGCAAGCGGCGTGCTGCAGACACACATTGCGTTTTACAATTTTACTGGATGAACGAAACTGTTTTTATTTATTTCACAGATAATGATTTGGACAAGAGATAGGGTTGTTTGAAATAATCGAAAAAGTAATTCCCATTGTTATATGTGATGTCCTGTGGTTTCTGCGGGTAATCTTGAAATTGCAAGTTTTAAAGTATGCACAGCTAGTAATTTGAGCAACTAACGGATCCACTCAGGACGTAAAACGAAGAAAGTTCGACTAAGGTTTATAAACAATCGCATTATATACACTGTACTTTGTTTTCCAAAAGCAAAAATCCTTGTGCGCGTACGACAGTATTGTAAAGCACATGTGACGAAGGTATTGACTTTATCATACTGATTACGCGAGGTAAGAACTAAACAACTTTCATGTTCCTCCATATTCTTTATTGTTACTCACTATCTACCTTATCTATATTTTCTTCCTCTCCCTTTATCCTCTTACATTGCTCTTTCTACAGCCTGTTACATCGTTCTCCCACGTTTACATTACATTTACCACCAAAGTACGACGAGATCGTGTCAATTACTAACATTACGCACATATATGTACCAGTAAAAAACATTTTCACTTGACGGCGTCCTTTTTGCGTCCTTTGTGCGACCTTGGAACAGGCATCGTATTGATCGTAAAAAGGAGGCACAAGCGTTGCTTTGGTTGGCCAGTTGTTAGCCAGTTGTCGTCACGTAAAATAGTGTTTATTTTACTCTCAAACAGGGCTGCATTACGCTGTCCAGTGTAAGGGAGGCTCAAACAGCTACGAATATACGAATAGTCACAAACAACCAATATAGCATTAGTGAACAGCATTTGGATGCAAACCTTATTCGACATCTCACAAACACATGGTCGACCAAATCTTGTTTTTACACATTAATCAAAAGCTGATTTTAAATACTTGTTGTCTTTCTTCCTACGTTATCTTCGTAACACACACACAAACACACACACACACACACACACAAAAAAAAAAGAGGAATCAAAATAACTTATTAGTTTGCAATTCTCCTATATTTCATAAGATCATCATATACTTGTGCCAAAAACAATACCAATATGTTAGGTAACCAAAAACATAAGAGTCGACAACACACACACACAGACACNACAAGAGCACACACACACACACACACACACACGTGTTTTTATTTAAAAATCGGTTGTCTCATAAGACCACTGTTGCTGGCACTTGTACATACAAACTTTGACTACTGGAAGGACCCAATCTCTCTCCTAACCCTCGAAATTTTAAATGAAATGGGTTTAATTTTAGGCTCTTAGCAGTAACGAGCAAGCGAAACATGCACTCGTAATACAGATGTAATCCATATACATGTACTGTACATGCATTAGGGCTACTGGTGTAGTAGCCTACTCATTTTTGGAAGTGACCAAGACATAAACCCCCATTTCAATTTGCAAAGGTGATGAAGAGGAGAGGAAAAATGCTGTGGAAGTTTGGATCCATCTATAGTGGTTATCGTCTTTATCTGCCCCTAAAACGTTTTCGAATAAATCATGTTGTCACACCTTCTGGACGCCCGGAGAATGATGACTTTCCCTGATCTCGTGGCACGAAGATTTATTGCAACAGCGACAGGACATACTGTGGTAACTTAATGTACTCACGCACGCAATTGCAAATGTACTGCCCTAGGACGAGAGTTCACAAATGTTCTTTCTGTTATTTCTATTTATGACACAACCAGAGGTAACACAAATACACACACACAAACACACAGAAACACCTTAACACGCAAGCAAACACACACGACCACACACACACACACACACACACACACACACACACAGAAACACCTTAACACGCACGCGCACACACACGCACACAAGCAGAAAGAGAGAGAGGGAGCGGGGAGGGAGAGAGGGGGGCTATGCCCTCTTTTTTCCACCACATGTACAAAAGCGGTTTGTTTATTGGGACAAAAAAATTCCAGTAGAACTAACACATGTACCTGAATGTGAAAGTTGAACAAATAGGCAGGTATAGACTGAGTTACACAAATGTTAGCAGTTTTGTACATGTCCATGTTATCTTTTTTTAAATGTCAAAAAATAGATAAAAACTCAAATTTGCTTACCACCGTTATGATCCGCTGCTGGCTTGGAGATGACGGTAGATAACATGAAAACACAGAAAACGCCTAGAATCACAGCGTCCCTCATTTTACGTCTGTCTAGTAGTATGGAAGTTAGAATATGAAAATGATTACGTTTAGATTATTTGATATCGAATATCGTAATTGTTGTATTCATTACAATGTGGAAATTAACATGACATTAAAATTTAATATTATAAAGTAAAAGAAAGGGCTTTTAAAGTCATAAATCGTGATCTTGTTTTCAAAAACTGTTTATAGAAGTAATTTCTTTGTGCGTGTGCATGTTTGTATATGTGTTTGTCTGTTAATGTGTGTGTATGTGTGCGTGAGAGAGAGAGAGAGAGAGAGAGAGAGAGAGAGAGTCAACAAAACTTCAATTCGGTCGAAAGTTAACTTCTGAAGAAACATGTTGCATTTGTACTTACATGTACCTCTGTCACAACTGGAAATTATAAGTTTTTCTCAGCTTCTCATATATAAATTTTTCTCTCGTTGAAAAAGACTCTGTATTGACCCAAATCATATACGTAAACGAATATGCGTGATATTTTTCAAACCAAGTACTCCCTGAGTAAAAACACGCCCTCTTCCGAAGTACGTTTCATTATCTTTGGATCATGACTAGAATATAATTTATGAATGTTGCCGATCTAACCTTAAATCACCGCTGGCAAATAATGATAAACAGCTTTGTTGATCAACTCATTTAACAAGTAATAAAAATACTTGCAAAACATAGAAATGCAAAGTATAATGACGTAACCACGAATACAATATCACAGTACCTTTATATACGACATTATAAACTGAAGTCATATTTATTGTCATACATACATCGTTTATCTTCACACGTCCTCTGCTGTTAGTAGTAACGCAATAGTCTACTGTTGGCCATGTAGTATTTTCTCTTGGAAAATGTGTACAATAAGATGTGCCAAAGATATGTACTTGAGATTAAGTGGGATCTAAGCCCGTCACTTAACATTAACAAACAATGTTTTATGTTAATCAAATATTTGATTGAGATATCTGTCAATAAGACAGAAGGCGAAAAAGATAACATTCTATCGACAAACCTTTTTCATATTGATGGGGCAGGTGACAGCCGGGTATTATTTTATATAAAAAGGACGATTTATTTCTTGCCTAGGCCGTATAGCGTTGTCTAGGTTTAGAAAGGGTCCCAAACTTTGCGAAATCATTTAGAGACAGCCAACTAAAAAAAACTTTTGTTATTTCATCCAATAAATGCAGTGGACCACGCCTCTTTCTCTCTCTCTCTCTCTCTCTCTCTCTCTCTCTCTCACACACACACACACACACACACACACACACACACTTTAACAGAGTGAAAAAACTTGTTAGCCACCAAAATAACAGATTGCAATATATTCCAATTTCACTCCTGTCCAAATATCCGAGGATTTTTGTTTCGTTTTAAGTTCAAAATTGCGGTGGTCTCAACTACAGCAGTTAAACACCGTCCCGTACGACAGGAGGGCGCCAGCAAGCGGCGTGCTGCAGACACACATCGCGTTTTACAATTTTACTGGATGAACGAAACTGTTTTTATTTATTTCACAGATAATGATTTGGACAAGAGATAGGGCTGTTTGAAATAATCGAAAAAGTAATTCCCATTGTTATATGTGATGTCCTGTGGTTTCTGCGGGTAATCTTGAAATTGCAAGTTTTAAAGTATGCACAGCTAGTAATTTGAGCAACTAACGGATCCACTCAGGACGTAAAACGAAGAAAGTTCGACTAAGGTTTATAAACAATCGCATTATATACACTGTACTTTGTTTTCCAAAAGCAAAAATCCTTGTGCGCGTACGCCAGTATTGTAAAGCACATGTGACGAAGGTATTGACTTTATCATAATGATTACGCGAGGTAAGAACTAAACAACTTTCATGTTCCTCCATATTCTTTATTGTTACTCGCTAACTACCTTATCTATATTTTCTTCCTCTCCCTTCATCCTCTTACATTGCTCTTCCTACAGCCTGTTACATCGTTCTCCCACGTTTACATTACATTTACCACCAAAGTACGACGAGATCGTGTCAATTCCTAACATTACGCACATATATGTACCAGTAAAAAACATTTTCACTTGACGGCGTCCTTTTTGCGTCCTTTGTGCGACCTTGGAACAGGCATCGTATTGATCGTAAAAAGGAGGCTCAAGCGTTGCTTTGGTTGGCCAGTTGTTAGCCAGTTGTCGTCACGTAAAATAGTATTTATTTTACTCTCAAACAGGGCTGCATTACGCTGTCCAGTGTAAGGGAGGCGTAAACAGCTACGAATATACGAATAGTCACAAACAACCAATATAGCATTAGTGAACAGCATTTGGATGCAAACCTTATTCGACATCTCACAAACACATGGTCGACCAAATCTTGTTTTTACACATTAATCAAAAGCTGATTTTAAATACTTGTTGTCTTTCTTCCTACGTTATCTTCGTAACACACACACAAACACACACAAAAAGAGGAATCAAAATAACTTATTAGTTTGCAATTCTCCTATATTTCATAAGATCATCATATACTTGTGCCAAAAACAATACCAATATGTTAGGTAACCAAAAACATAAGAGTCGACAACACACACACACAGACACACACACACACACACACACACACGTTAGTATGGCTCGTATACCGTTTTTCATATATGCTAACTCATGAAAAAGTTGAAAACCCTGAAGTTGTATATCAGGCGTTGACATTCTAAAATTATTTCTTTTAAGAAATGAATTCTTTAAAAAAATTAAAATCGGCTAATGTTTAGAGCAACAGCTCTCTATATGTCGTGACTTTCCACACACCGACCTGGTCACATGAAAAAGTCAGAAAGTTTGTTTTGTTATCCATGGAATGTTTCTTCAATCATGAGCGAGGTCTTTGTCCCCCAGGAGGTCAAGATTTCCTGTTCTGCGTTGGTATTGGAGCAAACACCGACCTTCAACGCTACGGTGACGTCACCGGCTGATACGCCCTGACAAGTGCCTTGAACTGCAAAGTCCGTAACGCGAGTATATGTACAATGCATTAAATAAAGTTCTATTTTGTGTGTGTGTGTATGTGTGTATGTGTGTGTGTGTGTGGAATTTGAGTATACGTTGAAGCTATATGGATCTGTGGGATGTCTTTTCTGAGTCAACAAATCTGTGTCAAAAAAAATGTGACGAAATTGCGTATGTCGGTTATTAAATTGTTCTATAACAAAACCAGCGTCTGACCAAAAGCAGAGGAGAAAAAAGAACGAGGAGTGTAATTTATCACCGCGAAACTCTGGAAAAATTGTAGAGTGCATGCAGCGAGAAAAAAACATACCTGTAAATGGGTCGTTAAAATAGACGAGTTCGCTGGCTTCATAGTACCTATTAAGCTTCCAACTCTCAATTGTCTGTGGGTTGCTACATTCGTAATCGTTGAAGGTGAAGTACCATCGTGAACAACTAAAGGGGACAAAAAATTCTTGGGCATTTCCTGACCAAAGTACCTTTATCCCACTGACCCCAGACTTCTTACTGTATGTCACAGTCTGAAAAATCAAATATTTCGTATGTACTGTGTAGCCCAGGCAATATAATATGATACAATACAATATAACATCCCAAAGAACACCATTAAAGAAAATATGAAATATCCAAACTGACCACCAGTTTCAATCAAAAATTAGAACCCAGCATACATGAACTTCAAAAGTCCTGTTGGTCTTAGAGACTGCGTCATTTGCCATGTACAAAGCGCCATCTATCGTGCCACACTTTCTAACTAATTATGCATTTGTGGCCTGTGTTCATTCACACTTTTAGTGTTAAGAATCAGATAGATGCCACTTGAGAAACCCACAATGGCCGCCCGCAGTCATTTCATTTTTCAGAAATAATCAACGTAGAGCTTCTTACAAATATCAGATGTTTTGATGACATCAATAAGATTGCAAGCGGCGCTTTAAGTTTCATTTTGTGTATTATTTCAGAGGGGGGTATCAAACAGCTAACATGTGCACTAGATACATAACATGTTGATGGACTATTATCAGCCGGAAAATTCATGCCCCCCCCCAAAAAAAAAGGCTTTGTGTGTATCCTTGTTTTTTGTATGCCAATGCCTATGTATGCCTATGTTTTTTGTATTACATTACTGATGTATCAATATGTCGGTAATATAAAAAGGGACTTACGTAAAGTGTTCCAGTGTTCAAACTGATGTTTTGGGCTGGCCACCACCAATATTGTCGGTTGAAGATTGGGATTCTAGTAGCTGTGTTTCCTGCAGGGCCTGAGACTAAGAAATAACGATTTTAAATCTTCATAAGAAAAATGTACATCAAGATGTGTTATTTGCCAGAATAAGTGATATTATAGGAAGGTACATGTACATGCATTTCTACCGAACTTTGATGAAATGCAAGCGATCATATTCACATTAACAGATCCACAGAAGGTCGCAGCGGGCACGTGCAGGAACCCTTCGCCTTTCAGGTACCCGCTTTGCCACTTTCTCCCTTCTTGAAATACCGAATAACATGCGATCGAAAGGAGACAAAACCTAAGCAATTTCTACCCCTCTGTCCTTCATATTACGGCAAAAAATCTTGATGCACGTGCCCCACTTTGAATTATTGTAAACGTTTAAAAAAAAAAAAATAGTTGTGCCCCTCGCCCCCGTTTCCTTCAATGGACTCCTGGATAAACCAGTGCAACTGAAAATCAATGCAGCTGTCAAAATTATTGTTGATTAATTTTCCTAGCTTATAAATTGGCCAAAATGGGTGAGGCGTGGCTAAAGTAATAATTAAGACTCACGTGCACTTATATCTAAAGCCAGCCTGGTTTCCTCCACTCTTATTCTGGACACTGTCATCCAGCCAGTTGACGGGTCACCGCTAGAGGTGATGTTCCAAGGGCACTTTCCGCAGTGGAAAGATATATTTACTGCTCCTGCGGGGATTCCTTTGCATATACCGGAAACTGGAAATGTTATCATATGTAAATTGGCGCGGTTAGACCGAAAATATAAATTTCTAGCTGTCTCTTACACTGGTCATTATTTCGTTAAAATTGATACATGCATTCATTTTAAATGATAGAATATTAATCAAGTTTGCCTCAATCAATTCTACTCACACTCAAAAGTCCTGTTGGTGTTAGATACTACGTCATTTGCCATGTACAGAGCACCATCTATCGTACCGGGATCGGAGCACTCTACGCCATTGAACTTGAAGTACCATCTGGCGCAGTTTGCTCCTGTTCCATGCAGATTTCCCGTCCAGTAGACTGCCAGGGCGGTGTTCGAGATTCGTTTTAAGTACGTTCCACTCTGAAATGTGCCAAACAGAAGAGGTCTTCATTACAAAGTGTTCTTTATTCGAAATATGTACTGTAAATATGTAAGGAACACAGGAAATTGATGGAAAATTGCAAAGGAAAAAATTAAAAAAGGCAGTAATGTAAAAAAGACACCATTTTGTAAATATCCATTTCCACTGTATTTTGATTGAATTATTTAGATGAAAAATATTAACACAATGCAACGGCCACCGTTTCCAATTACCCAGAGACTCATAAATAGTCTTATATACGAAATGTAAAACTCGAAAGGGGATTTTGTGGCGTATTTTCCCTTCTTCGTCAGAGTAAGAATAATCATTACCATGTAGACGTTTTCATCTTTGACGTGTTTGCTGTGTTGCAGCGCATATTCCCTTAT